TTCTACCTTATTACATTTATTACATTTCATAGACTTATAGCTCAAAAATACCTAGGAAAATAGGCATTCTGACTGCGATTGGAGTTGCCTCACCACAGATCTGACCTGTAACTCAGTCTGGTTTGGTCTCAGTGAAGATTTAATACCATACTGTGAAATATTGTTAGGCTGTTTACATCTCTAAAGTTCAAAATGCTCTGTTCCACCTTGTGATGTCATGAAGCAGTGGATTTCAAGTTACCGGTTGTCTTTTACCAGTGTTTCCCACAACAATTTATAGTTAAGGCTCAACAACAAGTGGCCCCCGCCTTGACTAGGTCCATCCAAACCACGTGAATCCTTGCAAAACTACGGTTGTCGTACAGAATCTCTGCGCACCCCTCCCCACTCCTCACGTCTTCTCCGTGCACGGAATCTACGGAATTAACACTTAGAAATTAACACAGGAATTAAATCAAGATGATAAAAGTGAAGGTGTATGGATTTTAAAAATGCAGTGGAGCACGTCCTGTATTACCACATGACATCACAAAGGGGAACAGTGTTTTCATACTCATTGCAGCATAGATCAGAAAATAGCGTAATATGGGCCCTTTAATACACTCTATGAGACTATAATTTGTCTGATGGGAATACATTATAAGATATATTGATTCTAACATCATACATAAAACTAATGATCTGTGAATGAAGACTTTTCAATATTTGGGCATGTTTCCAATTATGGTTTTCATTGCCCAAGGACAGATGACTGTGTAAGTGTAAAGTTGTGAAACTGCAGCTGCTGGACATAAAAAATGACCCCTGACAAACTAGAGCTGAACAAGATTATGTAAGAGATAAGTATTATAATTTAGACATTTATTTTAATTATGAGCAATAAGCAGGGACCCCACATACAGAAATACTTAGAAAATATACCATTTCCTTTTCAGTTGTCGGAGAGCAAATCATCTGGCTCCATATTACGCTACTCTGCATCCTCTGCCCTGAAACCAAATGACTTAATGTCCTCTTTCACTACATCCATAAATCTCCTCTTTGAACCTTTCTACTCCTCGTGTTTGAAGGTCATTTTATTATTCTGACTTTGTAAAGTATTTTAGACACCATTTTAACATTTAGAATAAAATATAGGCATGGAAAACAAGTAGCAATGGAGGCGTGGAGCTGCATAGACTGAGCAACGCAGTTTAAAGAGCACATATTTCCGTATTTTCCAGACTATAAGTCGCACCGGACTATAAGTCGCACTTTTTGGGGAAATGTATTTTGTAAAATCAGAGACCAGGAACTAACATAAGTAGTACATAAATTTACTATAACACAAGTTATAGTAAAAACAATAGAATAGAGAACAACAGACTGGATAGGCGTTAATATGTTAATGTAACATATTAACAGGTATTCAGATAATTATAGCATAAACAACATAAGTTTACCAAACTCACAATCTCACTCCAAATCACTAAATCCACTGAATTCTTCATCCTCGGTGTCACTTCTGCATGACCTCTGGAGATAAACCATAAATCCATGAAGTAAACAGAGTGCAGCTTCCTCTTCTGCGTAGCTGTCATCACACTCAGCATCAGTTCCAGTTAGAATTATTCCGGCCTTTCTGAATCCCAACAGGATGGTTTCAGTCGTCATTGAAGTTCATGCTTTGTCGATTCATCCAGTGACTTCCAGGAAAGTTGCATGGCGCACCCTGCCGGTTGCCATGAAGCTGTACTCTCCATCCCCACTTTCCACCAGTACCTCACAAGTTTCTTGCTCGCTCCAAACTTTCTTTCTGCTGCTCGATTATTGTTTTCAGCTGAATATTTCACTATTTGCAGCGAGACAGCGGCTATTTCTACAGGAGACATGTGCAGTAGAGGGCGAAGTGACAGTGGTACAGGAGTAAAAGTAGTACTAGATACTGACACACAAGCCTAGAGCGCCCTCTCGCAGCTGTCAGGCTGTTAATATATAAGCCGCACTGGAGTATAAGTCACAGGACCACCCAAACCATGAAAAAAAAGTGCGACTTATAGCCCGAAAAATACGGTATGTCTTTTTCTGATCTGTTATATGTTGATTTCTTTAAAACTACCACTATGTAAAATCACAAGGTGGAGCAGGGCATTTTGAGCTTTGGAGCTGTAGACAGACTAATAATAAAGGATTACTCAGTCACGTGTGAAATAAACAAAGCACATCGCCAGATATGTTTTTGAGGAGATCAAAAGAAACAAAAAACGCACATCAAAATTCTCGTAGAGGTGCAAATGCAAGGAGCAGCAAGACAAAAGTGAAAAAATGCATCGCACACTCAGATGTGTGCTGTGGTCCAAAGCAAGACAAATATCTGATGAAAGCTTTTTTTGCCGAAACATTATTTTAAAAATAAAAAATCTTTTGGACATCGGCCATCTGAGTGTGCTATACATTTTTTCACTTATGTTTTTGACAAGGTAACATAAAACTCCATTCTACGTAATATAGAACCTTTAATGAATTTGATTATTTTCCCAGATCTATTTTAATTTTTACCAAGTGGTCATCAGAAAAAGCTCTGCTCAAACACATTTCAATACTAGTTTTCTGGGCATAATTTCTTGACAACCCCATACGAGCACGTTCACAGTAATAGCTTGATTAAAATGCCTGGAGAACAAAGCAACAGAAACTTTCCTCCAATGAGCAGATTTATTAAGTTTGGGTGAATAATTTTATAATAATTTCCATTCAATTCTGCCTTTGAACCTTGGGACATGCTGTACCAATCTGATCCACTGAGCGCTTCACCACATCGGGGTGTCTGGTATTTTCTGCCATTTACAATTCAACGAAATCCCAAAAGTGCATCCTAATTTCCATTCACTCTCCAGCTCACCCTTGGCCTGTTTTAATACCGTGTTGTGTTGATATGTTCCCTGTGTCTTTTTTGCATCAGTAGCTGGGAGTGTGAAGGGCTCTGTACCAAACAAGAATACTAAAGAAGAAAACACAAGCGGCTCTATGGGGGAACAAATAAAACATGCGCACGCCGATTGGTTTGAAATCCCTACTGTGTGTGACGCCTGAATGCAACACAAAGCAAAAATGGTGAGGGAACGTAGTATTTATCCATGGAAAATAATAGGAAACAGGATCATGCGTGAACTGAGAAATCCAATTGAAAAGTCATAATAATAATAAATAAGATGTTAAAGCCGTTCGCGACGATGATGGCCCTGCCCGGTGCGCACTCCACCCCACGCGACCTCCCAGGACTCGCAACCGCCTGGGCACGCCATTCTCTCTTCCCAACAGCTGCCCAGACCAACAGCCACCAGAAAAATTACATAGTGTAGCTTTAATATTGGAAAATGTGATTGATTCTAGAGCCATAGATCACGTGACTTTTATGGTCTAGAGCACTGTCAGACTAAAACACACCATCCTCTATAAAAGTTACATATTGTACCTTTAAAATTCTTAAAAGTGAATGATTCAAATCTGAGCTCAATTGGACCAAACACCAGGGTCTTGAATCCAATATGGCCGACTTCCTGTTCATCACAAAGGCATGCTCCAATTCATCTTTTGGCTTGTCTCATTGTTCTCTGTCACTGTCCCAAATTTCGTTTACCTACGACAAAATATGCGTTTCGGCTGCCCATAGACTTTAAATTTTTAGGAAATTCCAGGGGGTGCTGTTGAGTGGGGTCACTTTGGGCATTGTCGCGATGCCCATTTTATTAAATTTTTCGCCGGACTGGTTGATCTGATGCTCACTTTGGGGAGTTTTCGTCAATGTTTAGACCCTCAGACTCATGATTGTTTGCAAGGAAAAATAATAAAAGAGCGAAAGAAATCCACGAAGAACAATAGCCTTTGCCAGTTACTACAGGTCTTTAACATGTGTGGTCGCGAGGGTGGAGGTACCCTTCATATTTACGCTGAGTTCTTCCCTAAAACTGAAAACACTCAGCTCCACCTTGTGGTGTCATGTGGTAATACAGGAAGTGCTCCAGTGTTTTTAAACTCCATACACCTTCACTAGAATCATTTTGATGATTTCAGCCCTGGAATTGGTCATTTCTGTTGATCTAAAGGTAAAAGGTAGTTGTTAATTCGAAAACTATCACTTCTTGACATCACAAAGTGGAGTGAGTATGTGAGTATGTTTTTAATGAGTTTAATGATTATAACATGGCTAAAAACTCACAAAAGTAAATTTTGCGTGATATAGGACCTTTAAACATTTGGCGCAATTATAGGCCTACATTGCTGCAGTAGAGTAAAAACTTCTTTACAAAACTATGAAACACCATTTACTGTAAGAAAGCCAGTTTGATTCGTTATTTTGTATGTATTTTGTTGTTTTGAGTCTTCATACTAATGAATAATTAACATATTATTTGCAGATTTTGTAGCCTGTTATACATAGGTCCACTACTGGGCCACACAAAGCCACATAAAAAAGCAGTATAGGGTGGTCTCTTAAGTGCGTCGTAAAATTGTTTTGTGCATGTGTGTTTTGTGGCATTACTGTAATATTATTCAATTTTGTCATGTATATTCTACTGAAATTATATTTTTAACTAAGCAAGGATTCAACAAAAGAAAACTGAATACATTAAGGGTGAAAATGACGTCTACATTAATTTGATACTAAATAATACCATTTGTATCTATAGTAGTAGTAAGCAGTAGTAGTAGTAAGTAGTGGTAGCAGTAAGTAGTAGTAGTAGTAGTATCAGCTAAAAGTTGTTGTCACTTTCCAGTCTGATGTCCACAAAGTCCCATACTTTGTCCAAATATGGTAATCAAAAGCCTCAACTTCTTCTACACAGCTGACGACAAAGTTTATCTGCCCAGGACTCTTTTATCTACTGTCTACAGAACTAGAAGTAGCTAAAAGTGGACATCTGTTTTTCTACCCAGTCACTGTAAACACTGAGTGACACTTAGAACTATTACATGAACTTTACTTCAAGTCTGGATTGTAAAATGGACTGCTCGCTTACCAGTTTGGCCACATAGCTGACTACCAGTGAGTCAATTTTCTTCTTCCCCAAACGAGGGAGGTGCCTGTTGAGATGATCTCGCAGCTTGTCAACCGTCTACAATGAAGAGAAATAAAAATGCAACGTCATTATTTTATTTTAGCGTGACTTTAAGTTTGTGTATAGCTTGTAACTTTGCAGTGCACTCAGCAGGTCAGCTTAAGTTCATCTTGAAATTCTCCTGTGACTAAAAAGTGTCCCTAAATTAGCTGAAAAGAAGCCGAGAAGAGGGAGAGGAAGAGATTTGTGAACCTGGAGATATAAAGTGTCAAAAAGACGATGTAATTTAGGTAGAAAGGAAAGAAGAAACAGAGGAGTTTAAGGAGGGAGAGATGCAGAGACAAGAAGCCCGGGTCGCCCTAAGAATAGAATGAACTCTATTAAATTGAAGCTCTTTAAGTATGCTGTCTTTAGTATAAGCCGATAGGAACAGAGGTGGGAAGAGTAGTGACTTCCCAACTTAGACATGCAGTGAAAATGTGTGTCTAAGTAGTTTATATGGTCAAAAATACTCAAGTAAAAGGAAAATATGTTATGGTAAAATGCAGAGGATTGTTGATTTGGTAGTTGTGGACAGATGCAAACCGTTATTGTGTCTCTTGCAGGTCTTATATTACACAAAATGGATTCTTGTGAACTTTAAGCCATGTCAGAATGTTGGCAAGGAGAAATTCAGTTTATTGACTGGACAAAAGTTAGTTTGGTTGAAGACGTTTCGCAGCTCATCCTGAATTTCTCCTTGCCATAGATTCTACCTGGACGACTGAGGGATTCTTCACACATGTCAGAATGTTGTTACCTCCTCAAAAACATACCTGGAGTTGCGTTTTGTTTTACTGACACATGTTTGAGTAATCCTTTGTTCTGTCTACGTCTCCAAAGCTCAAAATGCTCTGTTCTACCTTGTGTTGTCATGAATCTGTAGTTTTCAAGTTAACATCTACCTTTAACCTAGAGATGATTCTAGTGAAGGTGCATGGAGTTTAAAACACACAGTGGAGCACTTCCTGTATTGCCACATGACATCACAAGGTGGATGTGGATTCTGTTTGAGAGAAAAACTGCAGGGTCGGCGTATTAGGCATGTGTGAATAAAACAAAACACAACTCCAGGTGCACTACTGATGAGTAAACAGCATTATAATATATACACATATCTCAAAATAGGATAATATGGGACATTAAGGAAACTTTTACATGTTCAAATTCATTCCAAATGCCATTGGTAAAACTAAATTGATTTAGATTTTTGATTGATTGATTTATTTCGGGCACAGGTATTACATTATATTACATTATTTCACAGACAGTCATATTTACATACACAAATAGTAAATAAATTGTAAAAAGTTGTCCATCAAAAACACACACTGTAAATCTAACACACAGAGAGAGAGACCTGCAGATGCCCTGTTGTTTTTAACAGTGCATCTCGGAGCGTTACACCTGGGAGCACGGGTGAAATAATCGGTTGTCAGCATTTGTTTAAGTCGCCGCGGTCCATGGATCAGAGCGAAAGTGAAATTTGTCCACGACTGGAGCTCACACAGTGTTTTAGATCAACACGAATGGGCCGTTTGACAAGAGCCATTTTACAAGACAAAGTTTCACTGTTTTGTTCCCCTTCCTGGTCTCCTCTTCAGGCTGTAATCTACCAAATATCTCTAGTGTCAGTTTCATCATTTCACCACTCATCTGCAGTCTACGGAGCTACACAACTATAGATTTGAAACGGACTAAAGATACTGGGTGACTAATCAGATTGATACTGGCACTTTTTAGCATATCAGCTCTCAGCATTAAATAATAACACCTTATATTTCCATTATTCATTCACTTAAAGCAAAAAAAGCGATTTAAATTCTCCCTTCTGGGTTAATAATGAAACAAGATTGTTGATGTCTTTTAATAAAATGTTTCCTTATTATATTTTTCTACTGGGCAGTGCACAGTCGAGACAGTAATTGAGTTTGTAGCCATTTCAAAATTCATATAATATATTTCTTAAATGGAAAATTATAAAATATACAGTATAATCATATAATTAGAATAATGCATTGAGTATTGCATAAAGTTGCCAAGAATCAACTCTAGCTCACGCTCCATCCCCTTCCAAGTAGCTCGCCATGGGATTTCTGAATTATATGTATTGTACTGAAGAACTACAATTTGATTAATGAACTGCTCATTAATTAATTCCTAAGCAACTAACTGTTCCCTATCTAAGCCTTGTCATAGCTCTTTTATATACTCTGCTCTCTAGTTTTTTGGGGCCGCTGAAACTAGTAGCTCTCTGGCATTTTCATTTGTAAAAGTAGCTTACTGGAGGAAAAATGTTGGAGAAATAGGGCCTATCTCATGTTTTAATGGTATTCAAAATGCTCTTATTCATAAATGAATGTATAGTGTTGGAGTGTTAATATTTTTTATATTTCAAATACATCATGATAAACAGGGTGTCTTTAAAAAGGTAGAAAGCAGCACCTTATAACAGCTTATTTTCTATTAAAGGGCCTTGACTCTTATGAGCTTTAAGCCATTTTATAATACTGTTACATCCTCATAAAACATATCTGGAAAAAAACAACTCCAGGTATGTTTCTGATGAGGAAACATAACATAGATCAGAAAATAATGTAATATGGGAATATAATGAACATTTAAGGCCTGTTTACAAGAGAATGATTGCGGATAAAAACGATAAAATATTTTATCGGAAGTGCCTTTTTGGGGCTTAAAAATACAAAAATCTGAAACCACCCTCCACACTGCCCAAGAAGCAAAACTCTAGTCAGATCTGCTCACGTGTCGTACACGTTTATGTCACATACATACAGAACACACAAACCTGGCATGCATACCCAATCGAATTCCACACACTTTTGCATCACTGTATGCACGCAAATTTCTTCTCAAAAACACTCTTCTAAACACAGAATAAAAAGTGAAGACGCAACACCATTTTTGCGTCTTCTGTTCAGACCATCATCATATAAACATATCCTTGAAGGCATTATTCAGTCTACAAACTACAAAAATCCTAAGGATTAAGAGGACTGAACTGAATGAAAGCTCTCTCTTAACTCTTAAGATAATGCGGTGAATGAAACACATCAGGCATGTTTCCGATAAAGATGCAACATTATAAAAATAGCCTTCAGAGCTCAAAAAGTTAACTTATCATTTTATAAGCTCTTAACTGACAACAATATTTCTGCATGCCCCTTCCTCTGACCTCGGCTATTTTCACATGTCATAGTTATCCTTATTTTCATGAACATCTCTCTCCTTGTGGCCTATTAGCTAACCTTGACTCATTCTCTGATATTACCGTCATCTTGTATTGTCCGCTAATGGGACTTGACAGAAGCGCGAGCCCGGTGTCTGCATTGATATTCACGCAGTGGCTGTTTGATATAATTGACGCCAGGCTTATGAGCATGCGAGTCAAGTTCACCAGAGCACAATTGAAAAAAAACATTTTCTTTATGACTGTGAAAGACTTTGAGCACAAGGTCAGCGGCCCATTTGAAAAAGATGGCCGTCCTCCTCTCAAGCTGCTCTCGCTAATGCCAATGCACTCATTTAAGATTCAGTATCTTCTATGGAGGTTTCTAAGAGTGAAGGAGCTGGAACATTAGTCAGACCAGTGCTGGCTGTGACTCACCAGGCCGATTAGCGCCCTCTGTTGAGCATCCTCTTCTTGGAAAAGTGGCACCACCTTCTTATCTGTAACACAGCAGGATGCAGTGAGACTGTGCAGTGTGGTAGATTAAACAGCACATGTCTGAAGGAGATAATACATAAAAATGATGAAGAAAAACATCGTTCGGGTCAAATTTTATCTAAAAACTGGCTACATTATACAAATGAATTATGGTTGAACACGTCTGGGAAAAAATCTTGGGAGATGACTGAAATATAGTGTTACTGCTGTTCATGGATTTTAGCTTCCTGTTATGGGTACTATTTTCAGGACTTATTATGATTCAGAAGATGATATTTTGCATTAAAGGTGTCCTGTGTAACTTTTCGGCTGAGAGTACGTCACCTTCTTGTTTCATTGCTCTGCTGAGAATGCTCCACAATATGATATTAAACAGATCTACCTTACATTTATTCAATTACAGGTGATTTTATAGATCAAAAATACCTAGAAAAACTGACATTTTGACTGTGAGCGGGGTCGTCTCACCACAGATCTGACCTGTAATTTTGGCCTGGTCTCAGTTAAGATAGAAAAGTTTAATGCCATACTGTGAAACATTCCAGACAGAGCAATAACATCTCCATGAAGAAAAGCATTTGACTGGCCCTCCACCAGAAAAGTTACACAGTGCAAGGACTCATCACTTGCCAAAAGGGGTGTAAACTACAGCACTAACAAAATGTAAAGTAGGATTCATTAGAAATGTTTCCAGAGACATAGACATCTTCAGAGTGTTGTGGGCGGGAAATAATACAACAACAACCCAAACATGTTGCACAGGTCTCCAGGAACAATAGCTGATAGCAAAGGTCCATTAAATATAATCAATTCAACCAATCAATTCAACCTGCCCAAGGACGACAGGTGGAAATTAGCACTGGTGCCACAACCTGGTACAAAGCTTCTCTCCTGTTAAGGTTAATGTTTACTGTGCACTGTCCCTGTCTCATTAAATAAATAAACAACAACAACTACTACTACTGCTACTACTACTACTACTACTGCTACTACTGCTGCTACTGCTGCTACTGCTGCTACTACTGCTACTACTGCTACTACTACTACTACTACTACTACTACTACTACTACAACTACAACTACAACTACAACAACTACTCCGACAACTACAACTGCTACTACTACAACTACTCCAACTACAACAACAACTACTACAACAACAACTACTACAACTACTACTACAACTACTACAACAACTACTACAACAACAACAACAACAACAACTACAACTACTACAACTACTACAACTACTACAACTACTGCTACTACTGCTACTCCAACAACTACAACTACTACTACTACAACTACTACAACTACAACAACTACTACAACAACTACTACAACAACAACTACAACAACTACTACTACTACAACTACAGCAACTACTACTACAACTACAACTAACTACAACTACAACTACAACTACAACTACAACTACAACTACAACTACTACTACTACTACTACAACAACAACAACTACTACTACTGCTACTACTACTACTACTACAACTACTACAACAACAACAACAACAACTACAACTACTACAACTACTACAACTACTACAACTACTGCTACTACTGCTACTCCAACAACTACAACTACTACTACTACAACTACTACAACTACACTACAACTACTACAACAACTACTACAACTACAACAACTACAACAACTACTACTACTACAACTACAACAACTACTACTACAACTACAACAACTACAACTACAACAACTACAACAACAACTACAACTACAACTACAACTACTACTACAACTACAACTACAACTACAACTACTACTACTACTACTACTACTACACTACAACAACAACTACTACTACTGCTACTACTACTACTACAACTACTACTACTACAACTACAACAACTACTCCAACAACTACTACAACTACTACCCAACAACACAACAACAACAACAACTAACTACTACTACTAACTACTACTACTACTACTACTACTACTACTACTACTACTACTACTACTACTAACTACTACTACTACTACTACACTACTACAACTACTACTACAACTACTAAACAACTACTACTACTACTACAACTACAACAACTACTCCAACAACTACTCCAACAACAACAACAACAACTACTACTACTACTACTACTACTACTACTACTACTACTACTACTACTACTACTACTACTACTACTACTACTACTACTACTACTACTACTACTACTACAACTACTACTACTACTACAACTACAACTGCTACAACAACTACTAAAACAACAACTACTACTACTACAACTACTACGACAACTACAACTACTACAATTACTACTAATAATAATCACAATAATAATCATAATATCAGACAATATATGATCAAACCATAAGAAATGTACAAAAACATATCCTGTTTAAAGCACTGCCCAAAAAGTGATGAAATGGAAAATTAAACCCAAAATTGCAGAAACATCACTTTATCCGCGTTAGGAAGATTACACATCAAGTTTCTGTTCTCTTTATTTTTATCGTCTCTCTTTGACAGTTTTCTTGTAGATGTGCTAGTATATGTGATATTATAAATCTGCATATCGTCAAATCAACACTTTTATTACCTTATTATCTTTGATAGTTAGTACTTTGCCTAGATTTTCCATAGTATGGCATTTAACTAATCTATCTCGGCAATCCCACTCACTGTGAGAATGTGTGTATTTGAAGGTGTTTTCATTTTTGCAATTAAAACATCTGCAAATGAATAAATGAATAAAGTTTAATACCATACTGTGAAACATCCCATGGAGACGAGCAGATGTCGGAATTCCACTGGAAAAGTTACACAGCGCACCTTCACATGTTCAGAGACATAAGAAACAAAGCACCTTTTGATGTATTTTGGGGACAGCTTTTGAATTCACTCGAAATCTCAGGTTGAAAAGATCTTAAATTTTTAGCAGTGGATGCGTGTGGGAGCGTCAGTCACAGAAAACATGCTTACTTCAGACGATGCATTTCTCCCTTGGATCCACAAATACTCGTCTTTTGATCACTTTCTCTATGCCAACATGCACCAGACGGATCGTTTGAAGCTATAATCAAGTCTGTTTTTTTTTTTTTTTTCCTGAAATATAAAAAGATCTTAAAGAAATCAAGGAGCTGACGGCACAGAGCAGTTCAAAGATACTGCATGTTTTTGACAGTTAGCTGATGCTCATGGTATATGGGAGCACTGACGATGCGTTTACTGACATGAAGACAAACTAGGACATGTGAAAATCACTTTATAGACATTTTATTTCAGTATCTTATGTCAGTTATGTTGATGGCCCGATATCAGATATTAAAGTTAAAGTGCCCTTATTTTGCCATTTTCTGATTTATGTTATAATGTTGTTTCCTCATCACAAACATACCTGGAGTTGTGATTTGTTTCATTCACACAGAAAACACTCTCTTCCACCGTGTAATGTCATATGGTAAAATAGGAAATTTCAGCCCTGGAAATATCCATTTCTACTGAACAAAAAGTAAAAAGGTAGCTGTTAACTTGAAAACTACTGCTTTTTTTTTTTTACAGTATGCAGCTCTCAGTTGGTAGAGCAGTGGTGCATAAATTGTTAAGTTAGTTTTGTTTTGTTTGTTTTTTTTGTTTAAAAGCACTTTTCACAGACATATGTCACAAACACACTTTTACAGATTACACCACTTTGATACTAGGCAACGTGGGTGAAGGACAGAACCGATACCCCACTGTGGTACCTGATTTTCCCAGGGGTCTCCCATCCAAGAACTAACCAGGCCTGGCCTTGTTTAGCTTCTGAGATCTGACGGGATCAGGCTTTGACAAGCCGGTATAGCCCTATAACTGCACGGGTAATTGCAGTTCTCTCCATCTGAAGAGGAACACTTCTGAAAGCTTTAATCATATTCCTTGGATTTCTGCTGGCTTGCAGCAGAAACAGAATTATAGTCCAATGTCCAAACAAACACATGCGCTCTACTGTGAAAACTAAAGTACTGTACAGTGAAATTACAACATGTGTGATTGGCAAAAAGAAATCTCCAACCAATCTCCTGACCAAGACTAGTGCAAGGTCAAATGTTGTTACCCCCTCAAAAACATACCTGAAGCTGTGTTTATTTCATTCACCCACGTTTGAGTAACCTGTAGTCTGTCTATATCTCCAAAGCTCAAAATGCGCTGTTCCACCTTGTGATGTCACTAGATGATAGGTGATAGGTAGTGATAGTGTTGTTTTGTTTTTTTTATACCTATGATAGCTGTCTTTTACCCTTTGTTCAGTAGAGAGAGGCAATTCCAGTACTGAAATCATCCAAATCTAGTGAAGGTGTCTGGAGTTTAAAAACACCGTGGAATTGAATTACCACATGACATCACAAGGTGAAACAAAGAGTGTTCTGTTTGAAAGAAGAACTCAGCCTAAATATGGAGGATTTGTGTGTTAAACATGTTTGACTGTGGTGAGGAAACAACAACAGAAATACTAACACTGAACATTGTGTCTGATCAGCTCCACCCTGTACGATTGACTCCGTGTAATTCTACAGGGATCTCTGCTCAGACAAATAAATATCTTCAGAGCAGTAAAAACACATAAAAAGTTTGAGCAATATGTATTGGCTTATTGAGATGCTTTGTATTTGTCATGGCTGTGTAACAAAGGGATGAAAGCACAATATTGTTTTTGAGTCAGAAGTTAAACTGAGAGAGGCTGTGGATATGAGATCATGAAAAATACTTACAGGGGCATTTCGTAACTTCTCTGGTGGAGGACCTGTCATTAGATTTTTTATTTTTTTCCCAGGGAGATGTTATTACTTTGTCTGAAATATTCCACAGCAATATCAAACTTTTCTATCTTGTATTTATTCAATTGCAGGTGTTTTTGTTGCTTAAAAAACATGAGCCTGGTCACCTCCCCACAGATCTGACATGTAACTTGGCCCAGCAGTGTCCCATTTTTGTCTCCATGAAACTACATACATTTAATGCAAT